CCAAAAGCTGATTCCACCGTAATGTGACACAAATGAGCATTTTCAAAGATATTATAGTCCCTTTCATGTCACGTTGTAAAGTTCAAGAATTTGAAAAGCAAAATTCAATTCAGCATAATGAAAGAGGTTTCTTGTTTCTACCTGAGATTTTTCATTTTTCGACAGCATCAAACAAAAACAAGCGAGGTCATGTGACCTTTTGCAGTCGCGAGCATCGTAAAACACTTTTTAAAAAACAAACAAAACAAAAAAAAAAAAAAAACAAAGGACAACCAACTGCAGAAAAAACAAATACACTGAAATTGTTCAATAGGAACTAATCTAATTCAGCAATGCGCTCATGTAACATGCGGTATCAACATGCAAAAAGTCTAAGAGTCATATTCGTGATTAAAAACAAAACAATAAAATTATGCCAATCTGCAATTTGAAAAACAGGACATGTCCCTTAAAACACAGCAATCCTTTTATGTTGTTTTTTTACTCGTGAATTAGATTCGGTTTAACATGGCTCATTTTTTAAAAAAACCTTTGATTATAGACTGCTTTGTAGCTGAAATGACTCACTGTTATGGACATGTCATAATGAGTTCATTTATCCCTCTGGCAGGCTCGATTTTTCAATTTATCAATGAATGAGTATTGAGCACGAACGGATTGCGTGCAATTTGGGGCAGGCAAGGCAGCATGTTCGCTCGTTCGACGTCGTAAAGATTACCGAAAGGTGATGTTCGTTTTCATGCACTGGATCCGACGGAAAGATGGAGAGGTGAAAGTTTCCATTAGACCTAGGGTATACAACAGAATGATGGCCAGCCGACCACAACCAGGCTTGCCAGGCCAGCCAGAGCTTTCCGTTTTAGTTTAGTTTTAGTAGAGGTTTTACGGCGCTCGCAACTGCATAAGGTCAAATGAGCGGTGGGGCTATCTGTATTTCTATCATTTGATAACTAAACTCATTAGTTGTCTTAAGACTACATGTTTTGACGATGACTGGCCCTAATTGTTGTTCCAATGTTCGAAAGTGGTCCGCCATTGAACACAGCTTCAGTCTCACCCGTAAAACTCATTTCCAATGGAAGGAACACTGACGTTTAGGATTTAATGGGTGGGGGGCTAGAAAGCTATAAGGGGGAAAATTAACTCAGAATAAAAGCATGCCTACGGTACAATCGTAGAAATAGAAACCATCTGAAAACTCCCAAGAACAAATACATGCATGTGTGCACACGCGCGCGCGCGCGCGCACACACACACACACACACACACACACACACACACACACACACACAACACATACACATACACACATACATACACTGTCACACACTTACACTCTCATACACATACATACACTCATGAACATTCATACATGTACACACATGCACACACACATATACTCTGACACACAAGCATACATACACATACACACTCACGCCCATGAGTATTATGCCGAAAGCTTCCATGATGTGGGGCCTGGATGATGGTAGGAGTATCGTTCATCTTTTTGGTTTGTGTGTGTGTTTCTTTCTTTCTTTCTCTCCTTCCAAAAAAAAAAAAAAAGAGTTTTTGCCAACCCTCTCTCCCCACCCAAACCTCTCATCTTCCTCCCAGCTTCAGTTCCCAACTTGAAGTTCTTGCTACAGTTTCATAATTCTCATCCCATGGCTAACTTTCGCTCTGCTGTTTCTAACTGAAATCTTTTCCCCGACAATAACAGAGCAACTATGTAATCCAATGCACGAGACTGCAACATGAGATAGAGGACCTTCAGCGGAGAGTAGAGAATGCTAGAATGAAACTAACTGCTGAGATGAAGGTAAGCCATTTCTTAAGTTTCCCACAGAGCAAGGATCGGTTGAGCTCAGGTAGGTTGAGTGGAGTGTCCTTCAAACATTTAAGATCAATCTTGACTCAAACTGAAATCGTCTTGCAAGCACCTTGATCTTTGTAACAGCATTTTGTTTTGCCATGGAAAGAGCAATATTTCTTCTTTTTTTTTCATATGTCTAGAAATTAGTAGCCTATTTACGATGTCAAATCCCATAGATGAATTTGCTCTGAAGTTAATATTGGCTGGTTCCCATTACTTTTTTTCATTGCTGAAAACAGTTTAACTTTGAACAAAGACCCTGATATGAATTATAGACATGGTCAGCATACATGTGAGCATTGTAGGTGAAGATGCCTTTTTTAAGAAACAAAGAACGTAAAAGAAAGTCCAGAAACAAACAAACATGTTATGTTATCAGTATGAAATGAAAAAAACATCCAAAACAAACAATTAACGCACTCCACGTTCCCCTTACAAAAGTCCAAATGTCAATAGACTACAGTTCAATGCTTCCAAAAAGAAAACTACAGTGAAAAGTTAAGTCTTGAGAATGTTCAAGTTCTTGACGTGGTTTTTCTTTTCTTTTTTTTCCTTAAATTTTAGTTCTTTTGAATATTAAGACAACATTCTGAATAGATTTAAGTTCTTTAACGGTTAGAAAAAAAAGAAGAAAAACAGATCAGAAGGAAATATTGCTTCTTTAGATGTTGTCAAATGTGTCCACTTGTTTTGTCCTGTGGCACACCAGTATAAAGTTCAGTATTTCATTGTGGGCCCATTGATGTCTTCACGGCCTCTTGGTGTGATGTCATAAATGTTGCACAGTGCTGCGTTAGATAATAATGAGTTCTCGTGATCCGTTGCTACATTATTATTTGTACACAATGCCAATTCACTTTCCTTACTCATCTTCTCACATGACCTTGACCTTTGAGTTTGCTGTGTGTTCCTCAATGTATCAAGCATGGTGTGTGTCCCTCGATATAAGCATGGCCTTATTACGTGTGTTTATGACCTCAGATTCCAGACCGTACTCTCTCCCTTCTCAAACCTCTCTATCCTTTGAGAGTTAACGCTATATACAGTTTTCCTTACCTCCCTTTTGTTTTGTCAAAGTAACATTAATCCTTGTTTTCTCTTATTGTACTGTTGCCAACAGAATATTATAATATCCATTAGTGTTTGTAAGAAACTGGAATGATTACAAATATATATGTTATTGACTCTCATCTTGTTTTCCACACGGAAACAATACTTGCACCACAAAGAATGACGCATGCTGCTTAGATATCTACCCTTGATTGCCTCCCCTTTACTAACACATAACAGCAATTCACTGACACTAATGATTATAATGTCTTTAGACACTTCCATTAATAGGCTATTGGTCTAATTTTCTTAATCCTAAATCCTAGCAGAGCACTGTCTCATTCTCAGAACTGAACTGAACTCATTTTCTTTCTATTTTTGTTTTCCTCATAACATTCAGACTTGTCAGAACTTTCATCTTTCAACTTAATTTTAATGAACCTAACTTTCCAGCCCTATTTTTTTTAAAATAGAATAGTTTAGATGGTATTAGTTCTCAATTAAGGATCTATCGATGTAAAAAAAATAATTGAGTATGTCAGCCATTTACTTAAGTGTAGAAATGTAATACACATAATTCACATTTTAATGTGCATTCATAACAGTTGCTTACATCAAAAATGGGAAAAGATAAAACAAGATTTTTTTTCTTTGAAAAATATAACACTGAGTTCCCCGGTAAAATAGCACACATGCTTGAATTCCCGTAAACATTAAGCTTGATGTCTACAATGCTGTAAAGCGTTGTTGTAGACTCCAAATTCCAAATGTGAAGAGAGAGAGAAAAAGTGGCTTTCATTTTGTTTGTTTCGTTCTTACCAGGTAAACATTTTAGTTAACATTGAGCGCCCCCCTGGCTGGTCCTCCCACCGCAGTCTTCAAGGGACATAATCCCTGTAGTTGTTGAGGTACTGTCCGACCCCTGAGGTCACAAACCCTCGTCAGTTGTCCTGTATAATCCCGTACTGTATTTGTCCAAGCGTTATATGGATACTAGTTTCAAATCTCTCTTTCTAAAACAATAATAACATTGGTATAATAATAGTACTAGTTTTTTCCTGTTACTGGTTTTGTTCAGTGGCTGGGTTTACCAACACTCAACTTTAATTAATTGTTTTTGATTAAAGCTACTCACAAACATTTTAAAAGCATTAAAATTTGTTGAACCGAATTAGAATTGCTAAAACTACTAGATCTCTACAAGCTGACTGTTAGCACTCACTTTTAGCACTTGATTTTCACATGAATACTTACTTATTTGGTTCCTTTTCCTTCCGCCAACTTACTACTGAAATATATATAGATAAAACAAGTGTAGAGCTTTTACTTTTGGTAACAAATTCTTATGATATCTGCGTGAAGGCTAGCCATGTTATGATTGCCAAATGTGTCAATGTTTTTTTCCACTTTCTGTGAGTGGAAAAACTCATAACATCTTCTATAACTTTACCTTTGTTTTCTGTATATCTGTCATCTGTTTGAATGTCGGCATCAGCTTTCTCTTATGTAGCTTTTGTCAACTTGATCCTAACAGAAACTCCGATGCTAAGTACTTTGTTTTGAAAAGTTATTATTTAGATTTAAAATTTGTTATATCATCTTGGATGGTGTGATGTAAATGTGTTGTGAGTGCTCACCATCTTCATAGTTTGATGTTGTAACAGCTTTTTAAAGTGAATGTTGCATGCGATAATTGTAATAACTGTAAGGTAGTATTTGTGCATGCAATTATTAGCTTTTGAGGCTTTTTTTTTAAAGTTCATTTGTCTCTTTATATTTTTTTTCATGTCTCCATGTTCTGCTTCATCATTGCCATTCTCAAAGAAGCGTGTAGATTGCTTGAGAGTTGAATGTGAATGAATATGAGCTTTGTGTTATTTGGAAACATTACTTTTTTTTGCTTGAGATTATGTTTAATTTTCTTCTCATCATTCTATGCATGGTGCCTGCCAAAGTGGTAATCTGCAATGTTAAGATCAATGTTTTGTGAAACTGCTGTGTATAAATTAGTGTGTAATTCATGGCTGCTTACAACTCTGTGCACTTGTGTGGCCTGCGATCTCCCTTGTGTGTTTTTCAACATTTTTCCGTTGTAATCTTTGCATGCTGGATACCTAGACTCAACAAGCACCTAACAATAAAAATCTGTCATTTTTGGCTTTCAGTAAAGCTGTTTTAACATTTGGCGTAAATCTTAAAGCTTATGTGGAATAGATTCGATGAATTGTTTAATTGGCGTTAAATCCTGTTTGCTTAAAATCAGTCAAACGACCAAAGGGTTTTCTTTCTGTTTACTTTGAAGTTTCTTTGTTTTTCTAATATACTGGTACATTAATAAAATTATTCTTGAGTCATCGCATAGAAAATGATAATAATATGTTCATAATATTATTGGGTCAGAAAAGGATCATTATTCATCCAAACGTTTTCTTCATATTCTACTGAAGAATGGTTATGTTTGTGTGATATTTTATTGTTGAAGAGAGGTATCCAGCATGTTGATTGTGAACTTGTAATATGTCATTACGTCATACTTTAACTGTTTCGTGACGGCTGTTTATTTTCCCACTGTTACTAAACTGTTGGAGTATGGTGATGTAACCCAACTTTTTAACCTGGCAACCAGTTACTATACTGCCATGTATTATTTATTGCCTTTTTGGCTGTAGCAACCTGTGGTTGTTGTGTCTCCTTAATTCTTTTAAGCTTGCATTGTTATCTTGTACACTTTTTAAAGGGATGTGCATGTAAACCCTCAATTCATTTCCTAAAGTTTTGTTGTTTAAAATATGTAATGCAATGTTCACATAGCAGATGTTACAAAGTATCCATTTTAAAAAAATGAAATTCTGTAACTGTGTTTCCAAGCCTAATTGTGCCTTAAAGGTGATGCAAAATGTCTGAACAAGATAGTTTAATTTTGCTGTGAGATTGCTTTGGTTGTCCAAGTTAATTTTAGACATTCAAGTCAAGGAAGTTTAAGGAACAACAGTCTGATCATTTTGCTGTGTCGGTTAGTACATGTAGTTTGTAGATCTCCCCCCCCCCCTTTCCTGTGTTTGATGATATCAATGGCTTTTTGCTAAGCATGTATTGGAAAAGGGAGTGGGGATGGAATGGGAGCGAGACGTGCTTATTAATAAGCCCGTCTCGGGTGGGAGTGATGTGTAATAAGCTATTATGCATGTATTAATATCTTCCTTTGCTTAGTTTTTCCAGTAGTTGGGCATTGCTTCTAGGGCCTTATCTACGATAAAACACTCACTATCTTGTCATTCAGCCTGCCTGGGCTGTTTTGGTTCCAAACCAGCTTTGTGGGCCTATGTCTTGTTTCCATCTTCTGTTATAATATATATGGTCTCTCCCTTCCTCTTTTGTCTTCTACCTTTGCTAGCTGAATAATAAATTTTCTCAGGTGTTTCATGGTGTTTGGTAAGCCAAAAGTAGTTCAATTCAGTTTCATTATGTTTAAAGGAGTGTTAGCGTTTCAATCCCTATTCTTTTTAGTACTTCTATATTCTTTATTTTTTCTGTCTCCACGATATTGAAAGCATTTTCCTGTAGCACCTCGTCTCGAAAGCTGTAATCCTTTCCAAATGTGGTCATTGATGGTCCATGTTTTACATCCATGTATTATGATGAGGAATATATTATGGTACTTCTAAGAATTCCTATTTTTGTATCTTTGCATTGTTCTTTCTGGATAGATGCCATCCTTTCGAGCTTTGATGCTGTGATTCGAATTCTTCGTTTAATCTCTGGAATTATTTTCTCATTTGCCTCAATGGTGGTTCCCAGATATTCAAAACTGCTGACTCCTTCTATTTCTTCCCAATCAAATTTTATTACAGCCTCTTTCCCTTTTGTGTATGTCCCAGATGTTGGTCTTATTTACA